ACGGGACCGATTTCGAATCCGTTTGACAAATGATAAACATTAATCAAATCGAGTTATTCGTTTATTAAAATAAAATAGCTATTTGGACCACTATCATCATCATCATCATCATCATCATCGTCTGTCGGCTCTCGCTGTATAATACTTTTTTTTATATTTTTCATTTTTATGTTTCAATTTATATCCACTATACTAGTATATATGATAATAATAATAATATATAGGCGGGAGTTTACAAAACTTTTAAGTCGGCGCAAAATATACATATTGCAGGCAACGTCGATAAATCGTTATTGTTTACATGGAAGTAAAAAGTAGAGTTAATAAAAAACACAATAAACTCTCTTTGCTTCGATTTTAAATATTAAGTTGCCGCTTTTTGTTTGTTTTTTTATCGAACAAGAGTTTATTGTTTTCGCAATTTTATTTAATTAATTAATCAAACTTGACAGCATTGTCTTTTGACTTTTTTTGTTAAGCTTGATACTTTTTTTTTTACTGGCGACATTTGGCCACAGTTAGTAGGGTTTTTTTTTTAAATTAAATACACAAAAAGCGCGGTATCGGGCCGGAACTACTTTTTTTTTTTATCTTCCCCAAACGATATAATATTTTTGTATTATTATTGTGTTTCTAGTTAATGCTCGGCCATGCGAGAAGGTTACAAGCAAAAACGCTTTCACGGCCAATCTGTTTTTTTTCTACTCTACAGTACACTACGGTGGTCTTGCAGTATAATATTATACTGCACACAGACAAATCGAATAACGACCCCAAGTGTCTGGTTTTTTTTTTTGGCCAGTGCAAAATGGATAATGACGGTTCGCTGTCGTTTTTAAAGATTATACATGTTATCATACAGCTTTGCTGATAGAATCGAACGATGACTGTATAAAATATTCTCCTTACAACTTTAATATATATTTATATACATTTTTTTCTGACCTTGCCAAAACAAGAGGGTGTGTTTGATGAAGCGAGCACGCGTGGCCGTTCGTCAGCTCGCCATGATTTGTCAAAGTCTCGGTGCGTTCAATAAACTTCCGGGGCAAAATCCATAAGCAGTTTCGACAAAAAAAATAGATGTATTATTTTTTTTATTCTTATGTTTAATGTAATTGAGCGTACAACAATAATAGTACAACGCATAATGTGTTTAGTAACCGCGTGGCCGATCAAACATGTAATAACAGCTAAAAATGATACATTTGGAAATGGAATATTGTGCTAATTAGTCGTTTACTGGTTGCCAGTAGACAATAATTTTTTACACACATCTAACATATTTTGTTTGTTTAATACAATTTGTAAGGTACAACGTCTTAAGGTGACCCGGTGAAAAACATTTAAATATTATATAAGCCTAGAAGAACTGCCCTCGCTGCTGTTAGAGCTTGCTGCCCTAGTAGGTCCAGATCCGCAAAGCCGGATCAAGCACGTTCAGTCTTTAATTTTTTTATTATTATTAAGTTCATGCATTAAAATATGTATGTTCCTAATATATTTATAGCATATTTTAACGGTAAGGCCGGTTAGGTATACAGACATAATCCGACCGTGGTGGGACCCTTAACCACAGTCCGCGCCCTCGCAAAATATGTATTACTGTAGTAAGTATTGTATCATCAGCTATTTTGGGTTTTATGAACTTCACACGGTAGCAGTTGAGTTCAATTTTTGTTATTTGCATTGAGCTTTTACTTTTATCAAATCTATCTGAACACTAATTGTTGTAAGTTACCAGCGACAGCAGCTGGTTTATACAACTGGAATCAGTTGTAGTTCGTTTTTAGCGTGAAATTAAATATTGGGTATGATTTTTGAGCTGGGGTCCATTAGCTATCAAGTCAGTTTAAGTTCTATCGCAAACAAGTGCTGAGAAAAATAGGTAAATTTTTTATTGTCCATCGGCCTGCATGAAAACGAATTAAAAGCATTTTTTTTTTAAACCACCAAAATAAGCAAATGTCCCGAAGTCTCGAGCCCCCTATCGCTGAAAATTAAACGAAAACAAAACAAACATAATAATAATGTAATATACTAACTATTCGGTATTCTTTGCCGATATAGGTAGACCGTGCATTATATCTGTAACAACTGTGAATAAGTGTGTAAGTCGGTTTCAGTGATTTTACAGGGGAGCGATTTCAAACTGACCAGCTGCCATAAATCAGCATGTAATAATCAGTAACTCACGTCTCTCTCAAGGTTTTCTTGTTGGTCCAACGAGTTAGACATTTATTCAAGGTGTGCCAGGCGCTTTGGGCTACATCCTATCGTATTTTGTCCAAAATTCGACTTACACACTTATCACACAGTTGTTGCAGATATATTATAGTGTATTGTTTTTAAAAAGCTTTCGCCCAGGCAATATTGTACAATGTCCAGACAGATTGATACGTTACACACACACACGACGTGGGGATGCGACTTTATGATAATGCCGTCGTCTCCCCAATTGAGAATATTGCGACGTGTACAAAGCGCCAGGGAAAATCGAATCAATGGGCCGGAGTGCGGGGACGGTACTGCTGCACGGTGTGCGCGCGCCAAGCAGTCCGGCTTGTGTAATAGCGATGCCTCCTCTGGGCCGCGGTTTGATGGAACGTGAACTGATAAATGACACATGCCCGCCGGCCCTCGGTGATAACGGATGAGCGTTGACGGCCGTGTGGACATTTGTACCAAAAAAAAAAAAAAAAAACACACAGTAATATAGAGCAAAACAAAATAAAAAAAAGGAAGAATGTAAAAAATTGATACGGGTAAAAAAACAAACCCTCCGACGGTCATTAACGATACACGTGTAAAGTGTGGGGATGTTTGAATTGTCCACCAGCACGGAAACGGGCATCGATTTGTCCACGCCACGACCGGCTGCTGCTGCTGCTTCCCCTTCGACTTGTCCGGAGACCGGTCATTTTTTTTCCTTCTCGTTCACCAACAACGATAATAATTGAATTTTATTGTGTTTTTTTTTTGTGTGTACATGTATGTTAACGACTTTGTAATTGTTTATATCGACAACACAATACAGCAACTAAACTTGTAATGACACATCTTTGGCTTCAAACCCGCTCGAACCCTGGACCGTATGTCATATATATAAATTATTAACACCGACTTTATAATGTTAAAAAAATGGAAAACTTTTAAACAAATGTTAGAGGTACGCGACACTTGAGCTACAATTATTAAAAATAATAATAAAATAGAGGCGATGATAAAGTTAAAATTTAACAAGTACAAACGCATGTTTTCGTACTGCCGCTTGGCACAAACGACTGCGGGTCAGCTGACTCTCTATAGGTACCTACATAGAATAATATCCGGTACAAAACGACCCGCCCCTTCTTCCTTCCCACTGATGTATCAACGTGCTAGATAATAGTATTAACGATCAAAGCGGACGTTTTGATTTCCATAATATGCTTATCATACAAAAGTACAGTGTACTTACTTAATTTGATGTTAATTTGCTTTAAAATTCTTAATACAAATGGATTAAAATAATTGTTATCATGCCTAACAAAAAAATGTGTCCATCAGTGCTATAATAAACCTAACTATTATTAGTGATAATTTATCATCAGCATACACATTCCTCTTATAATCCAGTTTGAAACTGCAAAGTTATCAACCGCCAACCATCATGGGCTTTTGAAAATGATTAAAATTCAAAAGTCGTAGACTTGTTAGTGATGGAAATCCGAAAATCCAGATATAAAAATAAAAAACGCTATTTAAGCCACTTAAAAATCTTAGTTATATCATTAAGGCCTTCCACACATTATTTTATAAGGGAGTCGTTTTGAAATGTATTCAATCTAACTGATATAACTTGTAGACCATCTCATCGTCTTTTTTTAGTAGCTTTTTATTTTTTTGCTTCGATCATATTACTCGCCATTTTGTTATACGGCAAGTATGTGCCATTTATTATTCAACGTCTAAAAAACTACCCTTCCTATACACGGTATACCTAATAAACGAATGTAAATGTACATATTATGTGATACGACTTTGGCGAACGATCGTCCAAATAGAACACACCTTCGACGTATTTGCCCGGCGGCTGCACAGTTGTAATATTGTATTTATTCAAATTTAGCGTTCAACAGCCGAGATGACTTCCACCACCACCCTGTGTTCGTGTGTGCACACATAGTCAATTTAAACGACAAACGGAAAGGGCGGCTTTGTATGTTGTTCTATATAATACACCACCACCTTATGGGCATGGCACGACAAGCGCACAGCTGTCTGACAACAAGTAACATGAATGTATATATTATTATATTCAAAATGTGATTTTACAATAACACCGTGAACGCTGTGTTTCTAATATAATATCAGCTATATTATTATATTGTGTAGATTGAAATTGCATGATCGTTTTCGGGACGCATCGGATCAAGTGCAGGCATCCGAGAAACGTCTTATTGACGTTTCCAATGAGAGACACCCGCAGAAGAGAACCTTTTGAACTATACCAGCTATGTCTAAAGTCTTTGATGTAACGACCCGATAGCCCATTACGTCCCAACTTGTATATAAATATATTGTGTACATACTGCGCATTACCGAGGCACGTCAGATTCTCAACGACAAACTACATTATTATGGCATAACCAGCTATAAGAAGTATTTGCTAAATATATTGTTGCGGTTATATCATGATAATTGAATGGTACTGGAAAAATTCACTTTTTTCAAAATTCCAAATTTCCGTGTAATAAAATTGGTTTTACACGTTTTTCTTACATTAAAACAATTGACTTTCTGATTTTTTTCCATGTACCATCACTTATTTATAAAAATTTGCAGAATAATTAGACGAGTATTATCGAGACGTTAAAAGAAACAACATTTTGTAAATTATTTAATTTTTCATTGAACGAAATTATTATTATTTGCCACGTGGGATAATAATATATTATTATGATATGTATCGTCCAATGTGTGTATTTTCTCAAGTATGTATAAATAAATTCCAATACTTTACAACATATTTTGAAGTATATTTACAAGACAATCAAAATATTATCAATAATAAAAGTGGCTTAAATTGTATAATAAATATTATGTTCAACGAGAAAAAAATGTATTAGTCTTACAATATTATTAATCGTGATTCATGGCCTTAAAAAATAACAAGGTTTTGGTAAAATATTCGTCCATTAGGGTTTTTTGGTTTTCTAGCAGGTCGCGCATATGTTTGTCCTGTAATTTAACTTGCTTGTTGCGATCTCGGCGCAACTCTTCTTTTAGATCTTTAATTTGCTTTTCTAACGACTGGCATTTTTGGTACATGAGCTGTTCCGGAGTGCTATCGGTTTGGGTATGGACGTCGTACGTTTGAATGATGTCAACCTGAGGCTCGGCCATTCTGTAGAAGTCAGTCTCCATTTTATCGTCGTCCACGATTTCAGTCTTTATCCCGTCGACCGAGTTCATGAATTCACCCTTGATCCCTTCACCTGTATCGTGGCGTGGAGGAGAGTCTAAAAAAAGAAAAAGCACACACACACACACAATATTACACATTAATAATACTGTAGAACATGAAAAATAACACAGAGGGTACTGTTTAAAACAACGTCCCGCCCAAAAAAAATAGTAACAATAATTATTGTATATTTACTTGATATTACTTCACACAAGTACGTCATAGCGTTACTAGGTTTACCGCCAAGTACTTCGTGAAGTAAGTGGAAGTATGACATCCTCGAACTTGCCGCTCCGTTTTTCTCGATCCTCACCAGTTCCACTTTGTAGTCCTGTTTGAGATGTTTCCACTTGGTTCTCAGTTGCGCTGCATCTCTGGTAAAACCGCCTGCTGCCATCGGTTCGACAAGTCTGGAGTACAGATCTGAATTCCTTTTTCTAAAAACAAAAACAAATAAAAAAATAGTTAGTTTAACTAATAAACATATTATATTTGCTCTCATCTTAACATTACACGAGATGCCGTCAGCGCGGAATCATTGTCAATTTTAAAGTTATTCAGAGTGTTAATTAACCAAACAAAAAGTTTCTACCAATTTGTAAAAAAAAAAAAAATATAATTTACAATAAATACATTTTTCGAGAAATAAATCTTTTGAAAACTGTAATTAGTGGTATTGTGTTAGTAACTATTGTCTGTCGCAGTAGATCCATTGTTATACAATCGTAGCTGGTTTTTATTTTACAAATAGACTTTTTGCTATTTATAAGTTGTCTGCGCTGTGGACAATAATAACATCATAATATACTTTAAACGTTTTGTTAACAGCTATGTAGGTACAAAGAATAGGTACAATGAATTTGATCAGACATTTTAAGAGATTAATCGTTGAAACCAGTCGCAGTCCGACTTGTGGTCAGAATAATGTCAATAACGAATTTCGTGCATTTAATATGAATATTATACTTGGTAATATTGTGTATTAAATGTTGATATAGAATGTGAACTCAACAACAAAGCTGTTTATTCAAATGACGCAAATTACTGTTAAACAATGTACTCGTTTAGTGGTATCACTGCCTTAAGAACATACCACACAATGAAACCTTTGAGTTGCAGTAAATAACAACATGTGAGACCTTTGTAAATTATATATGCTATAAAAACTTGTCTTTCAGTAGTTGCAAGTACTATTATTATAAAGAGGCGAAGTCAATGAGATTAACAGTCCCGTTCTTGGTTGAAATTGTAAATCATTTTCATAATTTGTTGCTGGAGTTCAGCTGTAATAAATGAACAATTCGCTGCGTTACCGACATAAGTAATGACTGTGTGTGTGTGTTCTGTTATTAGAAACTTAAATGATGTTTTTGGTAGACAACGAGTAGTAGACCTAATAAAATATTATGTCTTTTGCTGTTCCGATTATTATTATTATAATGTAATGCGTTAGATTAGGTGCGAAAAATCGTTTATACCAATTTGCCAACTCGGCTGAAAAGCCAATACGAGAGAAACACAATATTACTCAGACAACAAACACACAAGACCCGCGTAGGTAGACAAAACAATGTAACGTGGAATCTTCAGGTACCTGTATAGTATCTAAACGTTAGTTACGCAAATTGTGCGAACACTGTCAAAACTACTAAAAAAAACTATTTTTGTGTGTTTAACCGTTTGTGTTAACACACCGTGTCCGCGTGGCCTAGTCAACAACAGTCCACTAACCGTTTAACACGTCACACTTTCACTTCACCAAATTGATTTCAGGTGAACACATTGTAACATTGTGTATTGGCGGTATAAACATAATAACATTAGTTTGTACTATATTATAATATGTATTAGGTATGATTACACGAATCGTTTTCAATACTAAAATTAATGGGGAAAAAACGTTTTTTTTTTTTTGCCCCAATGAGAGGATAACTACTCGATAAAACTCGACAAGTTTTGCTTCGGTGTTGGCCGATACAAAATCTTAACATATAAAAAGTACCGCGCATTTTCTAATGACGTATCGGTCCGGTTAATAAAAAGAAAAAAAATGCGGTCTCGTCTGGTCCTAGTTTGAATCGCACACACCGAACACGTCTCTAGATATACATGTATAATATAATATCCGTTTTGCTTGAACAGGCTCGTCGGCTCATAACTGTAGATCCGGTCCGGTCTTAAAAACTACAGACCGTGCAAAACGTGTGTACACATAGGTTTAGGTAGAGGTACTAAACGTCGTTTATTAGTCCAATGTAAAAATAAAAATGTTTGGCGATTTGATTTATGAGAGAAAAACTTAAAAAACCAGCGATATTTTATTGCTTAATCGTTTCAATCAACTCTCAACACACGGTTCAAGACCATCGAGAATTACAAGATTTTATTTTAATATTTTAAAAAAAAAAACCGGTACCCATTAAGGCCTACAATTATTATAGAGGGAGCAAAAAATATAATGTATACTATCGAAAATTGCAACAAAAAATATATAAAAAAATTACCTAAATCCTATCAAATTGTATAGTAGTTTTGCTGCAATGATGTGTTTCTTAATTTCACTAAGCCGATGGATTTTTATTTTTGTTATTGCGGTGTATAAACTACAAGATTACTAATAGAAAAAAAAGGCTGAATGTCATGTCCAACAATTATTTTGATACAAAGCGAGTACAGAAAAAAAAAATATGTTTTTCTACCAAGAAATGGGTTGACAAATCTTGTTTTTGCGTCGCCGCCGCTTAGATGAGAGAAAATTATTTTGCTATACAACAAATTCGAGTGACAACAAAATATGATATATCATAATATATAGAAACCGTTCAGATGAGTTTGTAAGTTAAAAATTATTATTATTCGGATTTGCTCGCGATAAAGTTAACACGCAAACAAAATAAATATTATACCGAAACGTCGTTATTGATGTGTGTGTGTGTAATGTGATGCACAAATGCAGGTTTTTATCTTATCTATATGCTATTATTCAACGCACTATTACCATAGTGTCTAATATAGCATGTGCCATGTTATATTTTAGGTTTTGGTTTATAATATATTGTAGTAGCGAGCATGCATATCATTGGTATTGTGTGCTTTCAACGGTTTTAGTATTTTTTCAATAGTAATCAAAATACGGCTATTGCGTTGGTAACATCCGTTACCACGCACTTAATATTATATAACGGAGGCGAGTGAACTAAACAAAAAAAAAACATTTAAATAAACAGCAAAATACTAATCTACTATTAGGCCTAAGCTCGTAATATATTACAATAATTATTAATGATGTAGATATAATAGGTAATAAACGTTTGTCAATATCGTCAAAGTGACTTTAGACAGTGTTTTGACCACGAAAACCCAACATTGTGAATTGAGCGTTTGAAAATTGATTGGTTGGAAAAATATTCTATAGAGTACTTAAAAAAAAAAAATAATTTGCCAATTATTATAAAAAAACTATTGGCGTTTTCAACATTGTAGTAATAGCTATCAATACACACGGGCCAAGACGAATAATTGTACCTTAATCGATTGCAAACATTGAATATTGAAATTAGTCGATGAATAATAAATAACCCATGTGAATTACCTAACCTTAGGTGACCTCACCGTTGAATATTCGTAGAGTCAATAGGTCTGATGAACGCTAAACAATACAAATCGCCTTAATAAAAACGTCAGCCAATCCAAACATGAATAATTATAGCAATAAAAACTTCACCGCTGCGTCTTAGAAAAGCATAATAATAATAATAATAACGTTGTAACGTTATGCGCGTGCAAGTGTGAGTCGACTGCCGTTTAGGTAACGCACGTTTATCTTCATTTTTTTTTTCCCACTGCCCGCCGATCAAAATATATTCCGTTTTATCTTGGCAATTATCATGATGATGATAATAATAATAATACAACAACGTTTATATTATACGTTATCGACCCGGCTGCGCTGAGACAAAACGTCATCGGTATTGGTACAACAAGAGCGATCGTTCGACATTGTTGTTTTGTCGTCCGTATATAACGGGGTAACGAACATTGTCTAACCCACGACGTCGTCCCGTATCACCCCGGCGGCCCATTTACTCCTCTCCCGATAGTTTGCCCGCCAACCCCTACCCCTGCCCCTCGCCCCAGACCGTTACGTTTGAAATTTCGTACAGGACGCGCGCTTGCGCAAGACGCCAAAACCGCCACCACCGCCGCCGCCGCTTACCTTTTGCTGTCCAACATGTTCGTGATGCCCATGTCGATGATCAGCCTGATGAAGTGTTCGGTTTCCCTGTCCGACCATATGTACCGTTTCTTGACGTCCTGCATGTCGACAACACGGCCGTCGCCGACGCCGCGGGTTGTGTTTTTAATTTTTCGCGCGTAAACAAACACGGTAATTCGACGGTTCCGTTTGCGCGGACACTATACAATATTATATGTTGGCCAAAACACACGGGCAGAGGAGACAATAACGAGCCGGATAGAACGGAACGAATACACACAACACGGACGGCAGTATAACGCGCGCACACCGCAGTGGGTACGTTCCGGCACTGGTTTCGCTCGCGCGTGGGGCCCACCTCGGCGGTATCGAGCTGGCTCAGTCCCGGGCCCGGTCGTGTGCACGCGAAGCAGCTGTCGTCCGCGGCCGGTGCGCATGCGCGAGCTCTGTCCCGTCGTCGCAGTACGGTCGTCCGTTGTGCGTGTACGCGCCTGTTACACGGCCGCCCGTGTCGGCCCAGTTTCGGGACCGCCGCCGCCCGTCACTGCCACTGACGCCGCAGCCGCCGTCACAGTTGTTGTTGTTGTCTCTCTCTCTCTGTGTGTGTGTGTACCGTGTTCCCTCTTCCCCGCCACCCCCCGGCCGTCGACGCCGCCGCCGCTTGCACCAAAACCCCGCGCGACCGTAACCGGAATCGCACCGGGACCCCAACGGACCGGTGCGGTGCGTCAGTGTGTGTTTTTGTAGAGTACACGACACTGCTGTTATAGTATAAGGCATATAATATTATAACGATTATACCATATTATAGCAGGCCGAAAAATAGTAGGCCGAGCCTGTTGGACGTCCAGGAATACCTTCCTGCTCGCCGTTACAGTCAAAGTCGTTGAAAGCGTCATCCGGGGCAGGAGGATCGGGGCGGAGGAGCCGGTCGTCTTCCGTCCTCCAACTGGCATTGGGGGGGGGGGGGGGGAGACGAAGCATAGCGAGATCGGACTGTAGGAATATTGTTATTGAACCGAGAGTGACGAAATCGCTAAAATAAAACGATTCGACAGATAATGAATACCGATAAAAAACGTTACGAAGACAGCATAATTAAATGCACTTAATATTGTGTTGAAAAAGTATTATAAGATTGGCAACGATAAGAGTCTGACGATGGTCTGTTTATGATAATTTGCTACCGTTTTTACCAGTAAATCTTAATTAATTAATAACGTTAATTGTTATTTTGTCTGATACGGCCTGTTGATTCGCCCACACCTAGTAAACCTGGAAACCGAATACGGTCAAGGTATAATAATGGTGTATTTAAAGTTTAAATACATTATGTTAAAGTTAAATTCAGGCCAATGAATATGTTTACTACAGGCACATCATTTGATAGCGTTTGAAGTAGCCACCACGGAGATAAATAATTAAGCGTCACACAAGTACATAACTAAACAAGGAAAACTGCTTATTCAATTTGCCTAAAATTCTATATAGAAAAAATCTAGGTAACACTTTAACCGATCCAAAATGTTATGCTGCTATAATATAACCGTTGAGCATCTTGACCGAATAATATATATATATATATATATACCCGAACACCTCGAAATAAAGAACCGTCGGACAAGGATACCTACTTTTGCTATTAATAAAAATCCCATTAAAACTATCAATACATTGTAAGAAATAGGTTTTGCAAAGTAGCCGATTGCGCAAGTTTTGAGAAATCGTAGACATTTTTCAAGCATAATTTGCGTAAGAGCCAACTTGCTAAGCAACTCGTCGTCTTTATACCTAACACGATTTTAATGGTGTTTTTTTTTACATAAAACAGCTGCTTTTAATAGATAAAATCGTCGTTTACTTACTATTCATTTTAAAGCTGTAATTGTTTTAAAACAAATTGAAATTAAAGTTATATTTAAAAAACACCTTCTGACTTAAATCTAATTTATTTGATTTAGCCTGACTTAAAAAAATGTTTGTAGTAACGAAACAGTTTCCTCTTCAAAATGTGCTGGCTTTCATTGTTTTGTTTTTAATAAACAATTTTATTTGACTTATATGTTATGTGGATCTATGTATTAACGATCAAAGTATACTTAACTAAAATATCATATTATGGAACGTTAATATCAAAATATAACAATTAATACAAATTTTAATGTTATTGTTTATTTTAGAGAAATATATTTATGCCACACACTCGTACACAATTATAAGTGTATTTTTAAATTTAATATAAATTTGTGTTTACATCATTTAAAGTATTCTACTACAAGCAGAGAAAATCAAATGTATCGCGATGACAATTTCCCATTTTATCAATACACAATTATGGTTCCACTTCGTTGATATATTCTACGAGTAACCGGATCAGGTTAAAGTCGACGTTTTTGAAAACGCAACGGAGATAATCCAAAAATACTCTGGTATTTTCCAAACTGTGGTAATCAATCCGCAAAGGTTTCTTTGTAATATTCAAATTTTCTACTTCAGTCTTTGTCAAACTTTTAAAGGGTATCTGCAATTCTTTACCGTTGAGATCGAAATCATTAGTAGCCACACATCCGAGAGGCTGACAGAGTGATCCAAGTGTGTCCATTAAATAACTTACCACACTTTGTATTGTTTGTTCTTTGTTAACGAAGTTTTTGAAACAGTTTAGCAAGTTTTTTACATGCAGGTCTTCGGACAAGCTTAACATATCACCAAAATCTTTTATCTTTTTACACCATTCTTTTGCGAAAATCTCGTAATGGATCGATTTTTTAAAGTTTTTTTCCAAAAAATAAACGTGTTTTAACGACAGCCGAAAAATGATGATTTTCAGGAAGTTAAAGTTCAGTTCATAGTATAATTTTATGTATTCGAATTTTTCGGTAGAAAAAAATAAATTACGTGCATTGTACCACGAGGAAGTCAACAGTTCACCTGTGCCGTTCCATTCTACTTGTGCGTTGAATACGACCATTAAATCTTCTTTGAAAAAATCATTCACACCTAAGTTGTTCAGTAGAAGACTTCCGATTTGTAATGTATTCCCAACGTATTCCTTGTACGGCTGACCACATATGTTGTTTTTCATAAGCAACCCTTTGGCTTCGGCAATGTTGTGGTCCATCAAATGCGTCAACTCGCTTCGTGAAGGATCCGGTATTGAGGATATCAACATCTCGTAGCTGTCTAATGAACTGCCTGGACGGCAATCGGTTAGGTCTCCACGCAGTTTATCTATGACATAGTCGTGTGTGGCCATAATTTTCCGACCGTCTTCCTCCTTGTTGGATGACTTGTCGTAAAAACTGTACAGCATACCCATGTACAAGTGGAGTAACCACAAGGCACCCATACGCATGATTTTTAAGCGGTACAGTGAATCTATTTGACATTTCAAGATACGACTGTAGCTGATTACTCGGCCTACCGTCGGTTGCATATTCAAATAAAGAGGGTCGTCGAATAAATGCCTTATTACCAGCAAGTGTGTCAAACCGCCAAACAGGAAGGTGCATTTCAGATCCTTGTGGAGAATATGTTCTGCAACACTGACGTTTGTGGGATAGCCGTAGCCGGTTTCCAATGACTGTGCTGATTGGCAAACAAACAACACCAAACCCAGAACAATAATTATTATCGTTAGTATTTCGTAGCGCATAATAATATTTCTGTCTAAAACTTCATTCAAGTCGGTAGGGAAAAAAACGTTCGCTCGGTTGCTTCTCGAGGTGACTAAGTGTGGAGACTGCCAGAATTATCAAGTTTACCATGTTTACACGAAAGCTTACACACGTGGCGTTTTTCGAAGAAAAATAATTAATTAAAATTTTGTCGTCGTTTATTTAGACCGTATGGTTGAAATGTCTGTATTTGTTCTATTATTTTATTATGACTTTTGTCATTTACTTATTGCGGTTTTTAAATAACATTCACAATATGTACATAAGGAAAAATATACAACAAGCAAATAGACAACGAGCAGGGAAGCTATTCCTGAGTGATAGGGGACCCTTAAGGCAGGTTTGGGCTAGGGGGTTGTCCGCAATAGTGGCTGTGTGCTGGCTTGCGATTAATGGATTCGAGTGGAGAAGTAATTTGGAGTGGAACGTTTTATAGTGATTCTTCACTAAAGTTTCGACTGATTCGATGTTATTATAAAGGGTAAGGTTGGAAAATTGGAATCTTTGAATCACACTTGCAATTTAATTTGGGGAAACATGTTTAGCAGGAAGAAACATAGGTAATGGAGCTTCAAGCAAGGTGCTTAATTTGTCTTAGTGTGTGGTATTTGGAATAATGTAAGGGTGAGGTATGGAAATATTTGAGAGGTGTTCCCAAAAAGATTGGCTTCGTCGAGATCCGGTAGGGCGAGCGACCCATCTAATTTTTTAATAAGACAGGAAAATTCTTTAAATTTGAACCAGTTTTTAGTGGTTTTCCATAATGACCCATCCAGCATGTTTAAGAATATGAATTTTTTTTATCAAAAAGGTAGTTTTTATAGGTTTTTTAATTAAGTTTCTAATGGTCTTTGACAGATTATTGAAAGTGGTCTTGTCGGATAAAAGTCTAGATCTTTGGAAGCGAGAACGGGCCCTGCGTTTTTCAGCGATTAATGATTTTATATTGGGAGATAAAAGATAAGAATTATATTTTGAGAGACATCTCTGATGAGGTATGTTATAGCTGATTGAATTGAACTGACTAGTTGGTGTGCTGCAGATTCTACTTCGTTGCACGTTTTAAGGGAATTTTTTAAGTTTGTCATAACATATACTATATGTGGAAAGTTATTATCAAAATACAATAATTAATAAAAACTTTACTTAAATTTTTCAAGTTATTGTTTAATTTAGAAAAATATATTTATGACATACAGTACAACTGTACACAATTATAAGAGGAGTTTTTAGTTCATAAAAGTTTGTGTACACTACAGTTGAAGTATTCAACTACAAGTAGTGAAAATCAAATTTCCCATTCTATCGATACACAATTATGGTTCCACTTCGTTGCTATATTCTATGAGTGACTGAATCAGATTAAAGTCGACCGTTTTGAACATCCAACGGAGATAATCCAAAAATACTCTAGTATTTTCCAAACTGTGGTAATCAATCCGCAAAGGTTTCTTTGTAATATTCAAATTTTCTACTTCAGTCTTTGTCAAACTTTTAAATAATATCTGCAACTCTTTACCGTTGAGATCAAAATCATTAGTAGCCACACATCCGAGAGGCTGACAAAGTGTTCCAAGTGTGACGATTAAATAACTTACCACGCTTTGTATTGTTTGTTCTTTGTTAACGAAGTTTTTGAAACAGTCTAGCAAGTTTTTTACATGCAGGTCTTCGGACAATCTTAACATATCACCAAAATCTTTTACCTTTTTACACCAT